GAGAGGAGAAATGGAAACCAAATGGAAACCAAATGGAGACACGGTCCCTTCGATCACGTCATTCAGTCGAAAACTAGGTGGTGCTTCTCATACGTAATTTCAGGAATAGACGCTTCATCTCTCTAGTTTTCCGATTGGTGCATCGGGAAATCTCTAATCGGCCTACCTCTAAAGGAATAGGATCCTACTCCTACAATGAAAAGATGTTGAGGATAAATCACCCAGCTGATGATGCTCGGATAAAAGCGAAGAAAATTGCAAGTGAGGACGCCAATCAAGAAGCAATATGGAAATATCTTAAATAACATTTTTATTGTTTTTGTCTGGTATTAATATTTTTTCATTAATATTTTAAAACTTATAGCATAATCTAGTTTTGTGTACCTCTTTTATTGTTCTTATTTAAGTATTAAATGCGTGAAATAATAAACTACATTTCGGTATATCGTTTTTTAATACTTAAAATGGTCATTAGTGCAGAGAACCGGTTGTTAAATTCTTTGAATCCCACCACTGGATGGAGCCCATCAAATGGCTCATTTGACTGTGTGTTGTATCCCTGGGTGGGTGGGTGGGTGGGTGGTTATTGTTTTTTTTTCTATATTGTGTTTTTGTTGTTTGTAAACTGCCTAGAGTCACTGTGAACAAATAGGTGGCTATATAAAATTTCTAAATAAATAAATAAAAACTAGAATTTGAAACAGATTCCATGGGGCGGGGCTCTTGGATAAGTATGTGAGTCGGGAGGATCCGTATGTGCTCGCAGACAAGTAACAAATCTATCATTGGCTAAATACAAACATTTGCGCCTTGCACTAAGTCTGCCACTTTTTGCATTTTTAAGGTTGTTCTCCCTCCCCCCTCCCCAGATATGTATAAAGTTAGTGAACACTGAAATCAGCATACATTCACCACCAGATGGGATTGTTATATGGATATAGGCCAGTGGTGGCAAACCTATGGCACGTGTGCCAGAGGCGGCACTCAGAGCCCTCTCTGTGGGCACGCGTACTGTTGTCCCAGCCCCGCCTCTCCCCGCAGGCCCCTCCTCAGCAGCATCCCCCCTGGAGGAGAGTCACCCCCGGGTGCGGACCACGTGGAACAGCACAGCCAAGCACATGGCAGCAGGGACAAGACTCCACCCTCATGCCCTGTCGCACACAGATGATGTGTGGAATGCGGAGGGCGTGGCCACCATGGCGCTGCTGGGCCACCTGGGCGATCTGCGGTGGGCCATGGAGGTGGTGAGTGGCCCTGCAGGTGGGCAGGGCAGTTTTTGGGCACTCGGATTCTAAAAGGTTCGCCATCACTGATATAGGCTATATTTCAGGCAGCCCTGAGACATACCAGGTAACATGTAATATTAAAAATAAAATATCAAGCAAAGTCAATGAAGTGATTCATTCATCGCTCAATAGTAGTAACTGTGAGAGGGATCTCGGAGTCCTAGTGGACAATCACCTAAATATGAGCCAGCAGTGTGCTGCAGCTACCAAAAAAGCCAACACAGTGCTAGGCTGCATTAACAGAGGCATAGAATCAAGATCACGTGAAGTGTTAATACCACTTGGTAAGGCCACACTTGGAATACTGCATCCAGTTTTGGTCACCACGATGTAAAAAAGATGTTGAGACTCTAGAAAGAGTACAGAGAAGAGCAACAAAGATGATTAGGGGACTGGAGGCTAAAGCATATAAGGAACGGTTGCTGGAATTGGGTATGTCTAGTTTAACGAAGAGAAGGACGAGGGGGGACATGATAGCA